TCACTCACAGAGAGATATACATTTTTCTCTCTGTGTTTCAATGCCAATAATGACAACCACACGTGTTATAATATCACATGCCGTGCGAGTGTGTGTGTGTGCGAAGCGGCCACTAATTCGAGGCTGTGAAAAATTGTTCAATGTGCTGTGCTGTGCATTGCCACAGCAATATGTACAATTGTCTCACTTCTCGCGAATGCAACCGATCGATATCAGCACAAAATTTATCTCACTCACCTTTATGCCATTTTTATCGTAAACATGCAAAGCACCAACGGTTTTATGGTATTTTTTTTTAATCAATAAATAGTTTGAGCGATTACAAGCGACGCATAATTTTTCGGCGTGAAAATTGATTACAATTCAATGAAAATAGGGGGAAAAAAATGAAATGAAAATATAAACGCGACTATTGAATCGATGAGGGGAAAAAATTTAATCGACAAAACCATAAATACAGAAGAAAAATACGTGTGGATTTTTTAAGTAAACAAAGAAACAAATGCGCTGTGTGTGTGAACCGCAAATGTGAAATATGAACATTTCCGTGCAGTTCAATTAATTCAATTTAGAAATTTTTTGGTAAATAACAACAACCGACGAAAAAAGCCCAAAATTCAAACACTTTTCAGTCATTAAAAATGTACAGTTCATTCGTGATATTGATGTAATTTACGTTTTTCGAAGGTGTGTTTCGCATCATTTTGTACGTCAGTCGAAACGAAAAATTGATGGCAGAGCAGAAAAAAAGGTGCCCAAACGCAAACAACCGTACAAATCACATTATATCGAACATTTGGAACGCTTTATTCAATCATATCCGCTGCGGTTAACATCGGCAATTTCAATTGATTTACAACTACCGCTTCGATATCTACGAAACATCATCCATGCAAAAAAAACTTCAACAATAGCCACAAAAAAAAAGAAAACCGTCCACAAAAAAGCGTTGTCTAAATCGATTATGATAGATTCGCACGATGATGACGAAAATCACTGACCCATCAGCTTTAATGCGCCTATTAAACAAAAGCAAGGAGAGAGAGAGAGAGAGAGAGAGAGAGAGAGAGAGAGAGAGAGAGAGAGAGAGAGAGCGAAAAAAAGAGTTTGTCATCATTTTTGAGGCCCAAATAAAAATGAAGAAAAACGGTTGTCGTGTTGATCGGTTCGTTTTTTTTCGGTATGTCTCTTGCGATATTCTCCATGACAACGCATCGAGAATTAATGTGTGAATTGCGTAAATTCGCTGGTAATGCCATTGTTTTTCGTGTCGCCGAATGTGATTGCAGGTTTTCGGTACAATAAACGAATCGAAAACGACCCAGACAGTTGGTTAATCGTAACCGAGCACATACACACTCGTTCTCGCATTTCCCGTTCCAAATTTTTCCAACGGTTTTGTTAGCAGGAAAAATAATATTACTACTATTGTGAATTTGTTTCATTCGAAAACTGAACACAGAAAAAATACACATTACACAGCATAAATATCTGAATATGATCGATGAAGTTATCTTATGATTGATCGTAGTAGGACACTGTGATCGAAAACCTGAAATAATTGTTTCTCTACACATTCGCAACGACAAAAAAATGAGAAAGAACGTTTAGATAATAGAGCCAGAAAAGTAACGGCATTATCATCGGCTCTGTGAGATTCAGTCCTTTTTTTGTCGTTTCGAATGTGTAGAGAAACAATTATTCTAGGTTTTCGATCACAGTGTCCTACTACGATCGCAGGCTTTAAATGGGCAACTCGTTTAAAGTTCACGCAAATCAGTCGACAGAAGAAAAAAAGATAGGTGTTCATGAGACGCTTGAACATCATGTCTATTTGGAGAACGAAGAGAAAAAAAATGGCGAATTTTTTTTTGTCAAACTTTCGGAATAACGTTTTTTTGTCTTTTCTTATTTAAATTAAAAAATAAATCGAAAGTTTGGATACATCTCAACATGAATTTATTTTTGTTTTTTGAAACAAGACAAATCAACAAAAATGAATTTAAAAAAACACGCTTCGTCAGCTTAAATTATTTTCCATAGAAATTTGTTCCGCTGAAACTTCCGCCCGAAACATTAATTGTCAATTTGCCGCAACCTTGTTTCTTCGTTTTCAAATCTATGGAATAAAAATAAATAAAAAAAGAACTGTTTTAGTACACAATATTGAATCAACAATAAAAAAATTTTTAAATTTTTTTACTTTTATAAATGAAAACTTACCTGACCATAACTGTTTATTGTCACATGTCGCTTCTATGACCAAATTCACAAATTTATATATATTTTTTAATTTGGGATCTTTGCTCATTTTGTCCTTAACTGTCTTCTCCATGGCAGCGGATGATCTCTCTTCCGCAGTCGCACCGTCAGTAAGAACCACTTGAGCGGGATTTTGCATATCTAAAATTTAGAAAAAAAGAGAAGAAAAATAACGAGAGACAAATGAGAATTCCTAATAATATATATAAATAAAATATAAGAAAAAAACTGAAATGAACGGAAAAATATATCTACGGAAAATTTCTTGACTCACAAATTGAAAAGAGTAAGTTGGAGAAAATTCAACAAAATTTTAATTAACCTACCTTTTATGTAATTCTTGTAGGCATCACATCCTTCAGTAAATGCGGCATCGATTGCTTTTATGATGAAAGTTTGCAATTCATCAGCGTTCGCGAATTTTCTGCTTGGGTTGTCCATTTCGATTGTCGTCAATGCTCGGGATATTTTCTCCATGTCATCTTCCATTTTTACGTGATTTGCTATAAATAATAGCAATATTACTTTTAGAGACAAAGGCATTGTATCTGACGACAAAGTTAAACTGACGAACATTTCAAATATTCTGCAGCAATTTATACTAAATTATAGACAAAACAAGTGCAATAACATATTTTCCAAACTGCAGAATTGCGTATTTCGTTGGAAAAAAAAATACAAATAAATGTAATGCGTCCATGTATGAACTATATTGTGTATGTGTTTTCATCTTATTATTTAACAAAACACACATATCAAACATAAAACATAAGATTTATTTTTGATGATAACTTACATTTAAATGCAAACATTGCATTATTGAAGGGCACATCGAACATTTGTAATTGTTTTGGTTGACTCTGATCTAAATCATATTTTAAGCATCGATTAAATAATGATTTACGTTCAACGGAGTTCAAAAATTGAAAATGTAAAACTATTTGTGATTCCATTTGATGCGCATCAAATTTTATACATTTGATGATTGGATGATCGATTGCATAGCATTTTGTTGTATTTAGAGAGTGAATGAATCCTAGTTCATTTGATAATGATGAGTTTAAATTCTCTAAACAATTTTGAAACGAGTATTCACAATCACAATGTCGAATATACGCTTGTTCGTTTGTGTAATTCAATTCAATATGTTTGTGTGCCTCACATTTGTGAAGCCAACGACAGCATAAATCCACGTGATCCCTTTCATTTAAATATTCTCCCTTTTTTACAGTGACAAATGTGGCTTCGAATGATCTTTTCAACGTAGATTCGGTTGGCAATAAAATTGATTCACAGAATTTTGTATCACTGAGATCCTTAGTCACAAGATCGTTTGCAGTGTTTTCATAAAATTGCAACAGATTTGATCCAGAACCAGTTGAATTTATGGAACGAATAATTAAAAACAGGAACACACGAAATAAACAAAATTGTTTAGTATCCATGTTTCAATTTACGTGGATAATTGTATCGTAGGACAGATACACAAAAAAAAGTTACTGATTGAAAATCAAAACACTACTAAACCAGTCAGTCAGTGAGCATTGTATATAAAGCGACAAAAATTCAAAATTGTATTTCTAAGTTCATTTCCTACTGTTAATTTTTGTTGATATTTTCCATTGCCTTGAATAAAACTCGTTCGGAAAATGCGTTCGGGTCTTGCACGTTCTTTGATTCGACACACCAACTCATTTGAATTTATGCTTGGCAATAATGGTCCATCCAATGAACAACATTCCCAAATGGAATATCCAAATGACCAAACGTTGATTTGATAACAGAGATGTCGCAATCGTAAAACTTCGTAAGAAGTCAGTTTAAACACGTTCAACAAAATCGGTTGATCGGTTCGTTTTTTTTTCGGTATGTCTCTTGCGATATTCTCCATGACAACGCATCGAGAATTAATGTGTGAATTGCGTAAATTCGCTGGTAATGCTATTGTTTTTCGTGTGAAATCTGATTCGGTCCCGAATTTGTCATCTCTCGATAGAATTGACGGCGGGCGGACGGTCAGGTCAAACAATAAATGATGATGATGACGATGCTACCGTTTTCGTCCATGTCATGACAAATTTCGAAAATTCATCATTGTCATTAAAATTGCGTGTTGCTATAACCACAGCGCACACAATTCCAGAATGAAGTGCAAAATTTCCACGCACTCCGTTAATTAGTATGCGTCGATACGATGGTGCGAGACTTCAATAACAAAAGCGAGAGAGAGAAAGAGACGAAGAGGGAGAGAACCAATTCCAATTTATCGATGGATCTTTTGTTATTTGCGTTTGTTTTTGCTACATCATGTGAAACTGCCAAACTTTCCATCCAACGGAGTATGAAATGCGTCGCGCTATAATTAAATTACTCTCACATTGGCTATCAAAGGCTGACGGCTGAGTTCACCCAAAAACGATAATAACCATTTTAACAAATGGGCCAAAAGACGCGTTCTGTGTTAAATGACGGATAAACAAAGCGAGTGAAATCTCCGGTGAATGACAGGTCACACACACACATGACCGAGTAGCTCAAGCAGTAGCGAAAGAATCAAAAGATTTCAATTCAATGATTAGCATTGTTTATTGTGCAACATGGCAAAACTATTTATAGCTCGTTTTTTTCAAATTTCTTCTGAATTTTTAGTCGTTTTTTTTGTATCTTCCTAAGCGAAAAACTGTACTTTCTCAAAACAATGTAAATTCAACATTTTTCTTCTTCTTCTTTTGTTACAGGTGTCACCAAACGATGGATTACCAACGATCGTGTGTAATAGTTGCCGAACACAATTGGATACATGCCAACAGTTTCGTGATAAAGCACAACGTTCACAGCAAAAATTACAGAATTTTTTAAAGTTCGCCAACAAATTGACGGGTGATCCACAGGTAAGAGTCGTCACAAACATTTCATCAACATCTGATTCCCATTTTATTTTTGTTCGCGCAGTAAACAAGTATTGTGATAATTCTCTGTAAGAATGAAAAAAAGAGAGAAAAGAATGTAAGAGGTGATGGCGTCGTTATCATTCGAACGTGCATATGTGTAAAACATACCACCTTGCCTATGTTATTAAAGTTTAATTCATGTAGAAAGAGAGCGAATTCAACACACACACGGGGGCAATGAAGGAAAAAAGACCGGAGAAGGAAACAAAAACCGGAGAAAAAGAAGAAAAAAAAATTACGGTAATTGAGCTAACAAAAGAACAGGCTGTTGTGCGCGACATACATCTGTTGCTCATTTGGATATTCCGTAAGCGAGCAAGCAAAGCAATTCAATGGAACAAAAAGGAAATGTGTACACCGTACACACAAGCCCTGATGTTCATCGAGACTATTCACTTCGAGGTGAAACGTATATCAGGCCATACATCCAGCCGTTCGACGCACACACACACACACACTTCGACAACCTCTCTCGATACACTTATCCAACGTTCAACAGCAAACACATAAAATCACTAGTCGAAATGGTCTATCTATTTTCTTCATCGGCTTTTTCGAAAGATAACAATAACATCGACCAAAAAAAAACAGCGCAACAACAACACCGAGAAAACAATAGAACTGAAGTACAAAATGAGTAAAAAATGAGCAACGATTTCACCCGAAGCGTTAAAGCATACACGAAGAACAACAGAAACGAAAGAAAAAACACACACCGACTGAAATCATCTCAAGCGTATAATTCAGCTGAAGAAGCGATTGTGACGGCGAAATAGCGAAAACAAAACAATAAAACAAATTAAAAAACATTATCACCGTATATGACCAAAGCGTCACAGTCCACAATTTGTTGGGTGAATTCGGTGTAGTGGCGACCGAAACGTGTGTAGCAAAACGAATGCCAACCAGCCAACCAACCGACCGACCAGCCATCCAGAGCAACAAACATTTCTCATTCCGATAGAGTGAAAAAAAAACACGACATAAACACACACATTTCTTCTGGTCGCCGCGTCCAAATGTGTAAGAAAAATCCACACGCACCAACTGAACGAGCACAACGCGCACATACCTCGGCATTGTGCGATGGCTTAACAGCAATGAGCTATAATAATAATAATAAAAGTAGTCATTTCCTGGGGACAGTGCGAACCGTTGAAAAGACGGTCGGTTTGGTTGGGCTGAATGGAAAACGACCGCGTACTTTGCTACTATTATTTTGGTGATTCCTTCAATTTTCTTTATCTATTCTTTTCTCGATTTTTTTTTTGTATTTCTCACTTCATTCTCCGGTTCCATCCATCAACCACAACGATACGGCTTCAAAATTTGCTTCAGTCTTTTGATTGTAATTTTTTTCTCCCTCTTTTTCTCTTTCAAGAGTATTTGAGTCTTTTGTTATCGTCGCTTATACTATCTCACAACTCTTTCACTCGTTGTTGATACATTGTTCACGCATTGCTTGAACGGAATTAATCATAATCAAAAGATTGCTTGGCCGTTTAAAAATGAAGAAAAACGTATCTTCGCTTCTTGAAATTACAATTTAATGTGTTCTCCTCCAAAAAAAAAGAACATCGACGAAGCTCTGATAAAATACGATGACCTTATCGAATTTCCGAATAAAAAAACACCAACCAACCAGCAACAACAATAATACAACACACAAAATTACTTCAAAACGATTAAAATGATCTCACGAAACCTTTAGTCAGAATACGATGGTATTCAGAAAAAATAAAAGTAGGATTTGGGTATTCATTGGAAGTGTTAGCGCAACATGCAATGACATTTGATGAGCAATCGTGAGCAAGCAATCGCGAGAAAAGGCAGGGCGAGCGAGAGAGAGAGCGACGATGACAATGACAACGAAGACGACGACGATAACAACAACGACGGTTTTGGTCTGCGCGCCCTCGTGATCACAACCAAAAATGCACGACACACAATCGCTCGACAACACAATTGAAAACCATCCAAGTAGATAATGATATGTGAATCGTAACTGCTTGAAAAGAATTATTATTATTTTAATTTCGTTGTTTTTATTTCTCTCTCTCTCTCTCTCGCTCGTCAAAAGTGTGTGATTGTGTGCAGCAGCGCCTCTTTCTCTTCTCCGGCCCCGGAGTCCCGATTCGATATGGTGCTGTTCTGTTTTTTTTCGCTTTTTTTTATAATTTGAATTTGTGTTTTGGTTGAGTTTGTCGTGACACACCTTTTGATTAAATGCGAGTGATTGTTTGGCAGAGTCTTGTAGGAGCGCGCGCTTGATCGATTCCAACGCACATAATCGTGATCTTCTTGAAGTACATACACACATTTCGTAAACACTCTCTTTTTACCCGTTGCTCTCTCTCACTCTTCGGCGACCGATATGCGGCAGTTCTGTTCAATATATGTTTCTTTTTCAATTCAATTTACATCGTCAATCTACACAGCATTTCGCTATGTCTTTCTTTTGTTTGCCATCTTTAGTTTGGTACACCAATTTAATCGCAATACATTTTTTCTCTCTCCATTCTTTGGTTCGTTTGTTCATTTTTCGATTACGATCGGCACACAGTGTCTTTCGTCTTCTCCGAAAATAAGTTCAATCCGTATTATATCAATTCATAATTCTTTCCGTAGCCGCAGCATGTCATTTCGGTGTTCGCATAAACCGTTTTTGATTGTATGCTAATATTTCTAATGAAATCAAAGAAATATCACAGATAAACACACAACGCAGAACATAAAATCGAATGAAAAAAAAGAACAAACTTGAATCATACCTACATACATGGCATGTTTTTCTTTCTATCATATCCCATTGTGTGTATACTAAGGCTGACGATACAAACTGCTTTTTTCCGTTTCTTTCTGTCACTGTTCGCGCCAGTGTCTCTTCTATCCAATATGAAACCGAAACATGTTTGTGGTAGTAAGAGCGTGAGCCGTGTTTGATGTTTTCGAATAGATCATTTAAATTCCCATTTGGACGTCTATCGTATATTTTCGGTTGATATCACCGCAACAAAAATAAAAAATTTAATTGAATCATTTACAACATCGTGTTATTTTCCGTCGTTTCGTCGTTCTTTTCATTTTCATTCTTTTAACAATTCTTTGTGAGTGTGTGTGTGTGTGTATATATATTGTCGCATTTAATTGAACACTAAACGTAACGACGCATCCAATGAAATGGAGAAAAAAAATGCGATGAAAGAAAAGAATGAATTTCTGATTGTGTTTATTATTAGAACGATACATCGTTTGTTTAGAAAAAGAAATATTCAAAACATGAAATGCATATTAAAGTAATATGTCAAGTGTGTGTACTGTCATGGGCTAATGCACGCACTAGTTGTGGATTTCGTTGCAATGACGCAAATTAATGGAACACGAAATTTCAAGTGTGGTTTTCGCCAAACTGAATGAATTGTGTGTGTTTTTTCCGTTTCGCCATAAGGAATGAGCTCTCGATCCATAAGTTGTTCTGTGTTGTACGTCGTTATCAGGGCAGCGGTCGATTTGTGTGTAATGCGCGCTAATGAAACCGTCTAAAAATAGATCAAACAAATTTTTTTTTATCCATTTCGAAAACAAATCTGTAGCCATTACAAGCTGTTTTTTATCATACACACGCCAGAATGTTTTTCAAAAATGCTGATCGTGCCGTTTCGTTGCCACTGATAAAAAAAAATTGGAATTGCTTCGGAGAATTGAATTTTGTGTGTTGTCTGCTCACGCTCATACACAATCAGGCTGCCTCGATCTTGATCGTGGCTTTCGAGCGAACTAACAAAAAGCATACTCGAGCAAAATCGAAAAACAAAATATTTTATGATTCCAGATAGAAAGAGAGAAACAGTCGAAAATGTTAATCGGTGCGGTTGTGTAACTACATATCTAACCCACATAAACTTCATACAACTAACGAAAGAAAAAAAAAATCATCCAATCAAGTAGGCAAACAAACTCTCTCAACAAGAGGCCGACAGGCGATCATGGTTGCTTTTTTGGCAGCACCGCGCTTATCGGGCATATCGATCACACAATGATTGAACCTACGAAGAATTAAGAGAGAAAAAATACGACCGAAAAAAGTTGACACGACACGATCGAGAAGTAATAAGGGGAAACAAGACGCGCTATCAGCGCGGCGTACATTCTTCATTTTTTGGTGTCATTTGTTTCAGTTTCTGTTCATAATTCTCTTTTTTTTCAACTTCTCCAAACCGTTTTAATGATTTCATTCTGAAGGTTTTTTTTCTACTTCTTCGAAGAAATGAGATCACACACAGAAAAAAAATAAAAAGAGAGAGAGAGATAGCGAGAGAAAAAAAATAAGAGGCGATCACATAAATCGAAGTACAAAAGAGCCACGACGACGGCTTAACAATGTTAATGACGAATATGAAAAAGACGAATTATTAATGAGCATACCATGATGATATGACACTTCGTTCACCACACAAAAAGAGATGATAGCCAAACGTTATTTTTATTTTTTATTTTTTGGCAGCAAGACACGCGGCGCTTTCGGGTCTAAATCATAAACTCATAAAGAAATAACGCAACCGTCCATCACAGCAACGACGACGACGATGATGATAAAAATGAAGAAGATGACATGCAAATGGAAATCAAAGATCAACGGGCTGTGTGTTCGACTTAACGCACTCTCGCACTGCTAGCCAGCCAGCCAGCCTGTTTACCAAAGCACTTAAATTATTGATACAATATTTATTTTATCATATGTGGTAAAAGAATGTCGAGAATATAACGATTTCACATACGTGCTAAATGTGTTTTAAGCCAGGCAAACAAACCATTTTATCACCGCTCACCTTTTTTTGCATATAATATTCATCTCGTGCTTTTATGGTTATCTCTAAATGTGTTTTTCCTTTGTTTTCACTGCGATAATTAGAATAACCAATCGAAGCGAATTCTTAACACTATCGACTCGGCACCTCATCACACCCGTATCTATTTATTCCTTTCCGTTCTGCGAACATTTGACGTCGGTCTTTTTTATCTTCTTTTGCACGATTCTGACTCAGAATCGGCTTATATTTACACGCGTCTATCCACATATGCGAACAAATGATCTAAAACACAGAAAATATTCACACATTCATCTTTGGATCATTTGTGATATCTGTGTGTGTGTGTGTGTCTATGTGTTTGCGTCTTGTTCTTTTTTTCATTCCCAAGTTAGTTTTTTCTGCATTGTTATTTTCCGTTTGATGCTTAACAGTTTTTGTGTATTCTTTTCCGAATGTTTTGTTGATTGATTACGATTTTTTCTTCTTCTTCTTCCTTCTTTTGCTGCTTCTTCTTTTTCTTCTTACGCTCTTGTCGATCGTTTCGGGGAGTTTGTGAGTGGTTTTATTTAGTAAAGTTAAGTTGAGTGAGCTGAATACATAAAAGCGATTGAAGATGAATGTTAAAATGCCAGCCACAACAGCAACAATGTCAAATGTTGAACGCACACAGACAAACACACACGCTCTGAAGAATAACAATAATAATGTAATGTAATGATAATAATCATTTTCGTCGAAGAGACAAACAAATATAATCTTCTTTGCTGGTCGCGCTCATTTCGGTTCAGGCGATCGGTCTATCTCATACACACCGTGTCTCTGACTCGTCCATAATCAATGCGCTTTTGATTCTAGCTATGCTTGTGTGTGTGTGAGCGAATGTATTTTGCCTGCTTACGCCCGGGATCCGGGTGATTGGTATCATCGGTGAGACGATTTTATTCCAGAGTGGTGATTGTATGTGCGCACCTCTTTCAAAACAACAACAAAAATGTATACTTCTCCGTAAAAAACACAACAACTTAAAACAAGAGAAAGAACAAGCAACGCGTAGGCTTTTGCTATCAGAGTGCGCGTTCAATCGTCGTTTAAGCACATATAACCGGCATATACTGACAACTCACTCCTTACACACGTTTGAGGTTGTTGTTGTTTTTCTCTTCTGTTGTTTTGTTATTCAGCCGATTGGCTGTTGTTCATCTCTTTCATTTGGTATTCCAGCACTGGCTCGAATCGTCGAAACTCTCTTTGCGTTTTATTCAAATTGGATGAATTTTTTTGTGTGGTTCATTTTTGTTTTGTATTTATTATTATTCTTCATCCGATTTTATGCTGTTTTTGATGCACATCGGTTGTTGGTCTTCTCTTATTTCTCTCTCTCTCTCTCTCTCTCCTTCTCTCTCTCTCTCTCTCTCTCGGTTTCATTGTTTTCGCTTTTTTTTCGCCCAGCTCATGTGCTGTATGCGCATAAGTAAATGAAATTCAAGTACATAAGTACCCAACCGACAAGCCGATTTCACTGCTCTGTTTGATGATGGTTTTGTGTATTTATGTGCTTGTGTTTTTATGTGTGTACTGATTGCAACAATATCTGTCTAAACAAATCGACCAAATCAAAATGGGCCACACAAACGATCAAAATCAACAAATATCCAAAAATCAGAGATGAAGAAAATAAAAATCGGTTACAATCACGAAACGCAAAATAAATATCAAAAGCAATTTTAAAACGAACGAGTAGTGAGATAGGCTGAGAGATCTTGAATGTTCAAAAGAGCATTTCAAAGAGCCAACAATCAAAATACATTCAACATATGCTGTGTGTATTTCACATCAATAATAATATTCGAAATCAATCATCTGAAGAAGACGAGAGAAGAGAAAAGAAGAAGATATAAATCGATGCGATTTCGTGTATTTTTTCTCTCGACTTTGACTTCCATTTTCCATGAAACCAGATCGAAAAAAGTAGATAACAAAGAGAAGTAACAAAAAAAAAATCGGTTTCGCCACACATATACCCGGAAAACGATAGAAAAATGTTTGATGATTGCTTTTATTTCCAAATTCGTTTTTTGTTATTGTATTTTTGACAACAGCTTAAGGTTTCGTCCAATTTGACTGAACGCCCCCGTAATGGCATACATACATATATTTCTTGTCAATGATTAACCAATAGATTGATTGAAAAGGAACTGAGTTTTTTTTTCTATTTCATTCATATGTTTTGACTGGTTTCGCAATAAATCTTCCAACATAAAGATATTGGAATTTATAACCTTGATCTTGCTCACATGGGTTTTTATCATTTTGGCTGTTGTTTTTTTTTCTTCTTTCTCTGCGTTAATCCCCTCTCAACGCAATTTGAAACGTTCGCCACGATACTCGCACGTAGCATTGATTATTATTTTGCTGGCTCAGCAAAAGCCAGCTGATTAAAGTACAAATTTATTAAAATATACACGCATTGGAGAAAGGCAAAAAAAAAACAGAGAAATAGAAGGAACATTTTGTAATGGAATGAAAGAAGTATGATTGCAGCAAATCAAAAGAAAGAGAATACAAATCGCAGGAAAAAAATATAAATCGCAAAAAAATATGCAAATCTACAACATTTATGTATGATAAAAGTGTTTGCCATGGTAATATACGCAAACGCATGTAATGTTAGGTAATCACGTTTTTTTTGTCACTTATAAACATAATTTTTTTTGTTTGGTTCGTTCGTCACTCCACGCTCTGTTGCTGTCTCGTTTTGTCACCATGTATAAATATATAATGGTTTATTTTTTATTATAACAAGTACATGGTTATTGTAGTAGTGATGGTGGTAGGTACAAAAGTTTGTTGATCCGGTCGTTACGTAGCTTTTTCGCTACTCAATACACACTTTGTGTCAGTTTTGCATGATTCATTCGAACCATTTGCTGATAAAAAAAAAGCCAGCGAGAGAGACACACGCGAGAGAGGGAAAGAGTGAAAAGTATCAGAGATAGAGTGAGAAAACGACCGAAAGACTCGTATCAAAAGCCATCGTGTTTTGCTTTTTAAGCCAAAATACCGAGACAACGCTCCAAAATCTACGATACAAAGAAATCCACACGGAATTATATTCTTTCCACACGGTTTGTCCGTCGAATTGTAAGTTGATATTGTATTTGTGTGTTCCATAACGAAAGCCCCAACCAACCAGCCAGTCAGCCATTGACATCACCGAAAATGACTATCTCGAATGGCAACTCAACAACCGAATTGAATTGCCAACGCTTAATTATATTTTTCGATTGCCATTGTTGTTTCTCGTTCTTTTTATTCTTACGCTTGGGAATATCACCGACAATACCAAATACGATTTTAAATGTGGTTTTTTTTCCCCTTTGAACAAATGCTTATTTTTATATCCATCTTATTGTTGACGACTTTTGATAAAAAGCGATTTAATTTATTGTTTTCTGTCTCTTGTCTCCGTTTCGTTTTGCAGGATGTGCTCAAGCAAACATCGTCAAGTTTGGATGAAATGCTACATGTTTCGTGCCGTGAAGCATCCGAACATACAGCCGCTGCTGCCCTTACCGAACTGCGTAACAATAACAATCATCATCTGAAGAACAAATTAATGAATGCCAGCCCGAATGCAATAGTTACCTCAATACTCAGCAAAAATCATATAGATCATTTGGAAGCGAACTCAGTATCTGTGATTCCAATCGATGCGGCCAACAAGCACAACAATAACGGTGGCAGTATTATTACGGGCGGTGGCGGAGCTGTGCCACCACAACCACCACCACCATCCAATGTACAACAAGCGCCAGGCCGAATTTCGGTGAAAAAATCATTGGGCCAAATCAATGCGGCAGTTACCCTAAATCAAATGAATCACATGCATGCAACGATGCCACCCGAAGCGGCCACCGCACTCGAAATGCACCGATTAACCCAATTACAGCAGCATCTTGAAACGGCTGCCGTTCTGATGGATATCAGCAAAAAAGTGATCATCTCACCGCCCAGCTCGAATCCACAGTCGCCCGGTTTGGGTGACAGTCAGCACAACGTTAAAATGACCATTAAACGTTCGAGCGGCGATGAAATTAATTCGTCAGCAGCCAAACGCATGAAAACCAAAGGTAATAACGTAACAACAACCGTTTACCAGTTAGACACAAACACTCGACCGAGTGCCAGTGTTAAATCAGAGCCAGTATACAGTGGAGCCGATGATTCAGAAGGAAACCGTTATGACAGTGATAACGATAGCAATGACAGCGATCCGGGACGACTCGAAATGGACATTAGCTCATCGCATGACAACAACGATGATGCAAATAATGAGGCAGGCAGATGCTCATCCACACCGGTTAAATTGATCTACAAGCACAACAGAAGCTTCAACAATAATACACCGTCCGGCAGAGACACACCGGAAAGCAACAAATCAGATGACCATCGCACAGATCCAGCCACCACACAATTGTGGCAAGCATTGGCTAGATCAACCGGTAAGGATAATGAGTTATTATTTCAGAGCGAAATCGACTCGAAAATGATTTCATGTTTGAGAATGATTCTATTTGCGAATGTGTTTTAAATAACTTCAAATTCACAGGAAAAGAGAAAATTATCTTTGAATTGTACAACATTTCTATAAAATCAATATGCATTTCAATTACAGGAAATGGCGCTGGAAATGAAGCCACACAACTATTGCGACAAATGATCACCTGCCGATCGCTCGGCTTGCCGATTCCGTCTGCTTTGAATATATCCCGCAACATGAGCGATCAACCAATCTCATTAGTTAAGGTAAGAGAAGAAAAACATTGAATTAAAAGCAAAGAAGTAGACGTAGTTGAGGTCTTTACCTGAATGAAGATATTTGACCTATGAGTAATTCTCTTTCATTTTCGTTTAGTTTATGAATAATTTTTGGTTTTCTTCACTTTTTCCAAAATTTAGAATGAGGGATCCAAATCGTCATCCGGCCGTCGAAAACAATCGTGCCCGAGCAAGGCTCCAACAGACAAACCGCTCAACAGCGATGTGCTTGCAAACATCAAAACTGAATCGAAAATGGATCCATCAAATGCCAAAGCTTGGGCCAATAATGTTGACGCAAAAGTAAGTGAATTTCATTGCCAAAACATCCACAATACTTGGAAGATTTTTTTCGTTCGACAATGGAAAAAATACAACAAAAAAATCGTTCAAATTAAATTCAATAAAATGAATCGATTTGAAACAAAATTTAACTAATTCGACTTCCGTTTCTTTGCAGCCGCCAAAATCAGCGCCGATCGATAACAACCAAAGTCCGAATCAAAAAGATATGTCTTGTACCAATTGCGGAACGCTAACAACAACCATTTGGAGACGCAATCTTCGCGGCGAAATGGTGTGCAATGCATGCGGTCTCTATTTCAAATTGCACGGTGTTAATCGGCCGCATTCGATGCGCCGTGACACCATTCACACACGCCGAAGACGGCCAAAGGGCGATAAATCGGGACGCAGACGTAAGTGCACATATAATATCTAGAAACGATCAATTTGTTCACGTTAAAATTTTATTTCGAAATTGGTATTCTTCAAAATTCGAATTTTTCGATTGAGCGAAACGTTTTTAAAACTGAAAGAAAGGAGTTGATATTTGAAATTACACACTAGAAAGGAAAATAAATGCAAAAGAAAAAGAGAATAACCACAAACATTTCTGCTTAAAATTATTCATTCACAGGATCAAAGAATCAAGATGCCGGAAATACATCCGGTGCTGATCAATCGCCGAATGGATTTGCCGAACAACCGGATCAAAACGATTTGCAAGCACTTCAAAACCATAATCTGCTAATTGCCTTGGGCGCTGCTCAACAAGCTCCTGGTGCTCGACATTTTGCTATGCCTGTAAGTACTATGCAAAATCGTGTGAATCATTGAATAGACTATGAAAAAAAAACAACTGTCTGGGTCACACAATGTGTGACTGAAATGCAGTCCTTGAATTGAATCAATGGCATTTTGTAATTATTGGAAATAATTTGATGTTCGTTATGGTATTTGCAGCCACATTTCTTTGATCCACACTTTTTGCGACAACAACAATTCACCGATGCTGGCAACGATGTGCAAATTGGTGATGACAACAGTAATAATTCATCGATCAATCAGCGTCGCCGGGACGATGAGGATGATATGGATGATGATGACGATGAAAATGATGCGGATTCGACAAATCTACCTCTAAATTTGGTAGCCACCCAGTTCAACGAATGAAGTCACCTGAAACGCATGAAATCAATCGCTACAACAAGATGCATCAAACCAGAAATAGAAGCAACAACGGCAGCAGCGGCAGCAGCAGCAGCAAGAACAACACAAACCATAAGCAACATTCACCAGAATAGCCTTCTCCAAGTTGTTTACATTTAATTTGTTCTAAAATTCACTCTCTATATCGATGTAAAAATTTCGAAGGTTGTTACGCGAATTCTTCTTCCGTTTTTTTAATGCAAAAAAAACCAATGGGAACCAACCATTTTTTTTTTGGTATGTAAATTTAAACCAAAATTTTCGCAAAGAAAAAACAAACCACAAACAAAAAAAAAGCAGCAACAAATTGATTCTCATTTCTTCTATTTGTAAAAGATTAGTAGAAAATGGTTTAATTATCGATTCGATTCGAATCAAAGATACGAAAAAAAATTTAATGTAGAAACGAAAGAGAAAACCTTTCTAAATCTTTGTCGCAAATTATATCTCCGTTCAGATTAATAATAATAATAAAAATGCTCGTTTTGTTGTACAGAACAAAAACAAAAAAAAATCGAATAAAAATTTACCGCATACGTGTAAAACTGCATGATATCGTGCACAATACACAAATTCGCGCACACAAACAAAACCAATTTTGTCATTTTGAAATTGACACAAACGCGTGCGGATGCTTAAACGCATGTATTTTGTATAAAATGCATGATATTTAGATTTACCGCTGGCTCACAAGCAGCTAACAATTACAAATTTTATTTCTAATTTTTAACTATTATCGCGAACATAACACACTCACTCACATACAAACGTGAAATGAGAGGAAAAACAAAAATATTAATTAAACATTATAAAAACACACAATTAAACACTTACACACACAGATGAACAAAGAATCTCCATTAAAACCAATAATTTTTTTAAACAAGTAATCATAATAACACAAAGTTTAATATTTACTTATTATAGACTACAACAAAAA